AGTCCAGTCCAGTCCATGTGGACTGGACTGGACTCAGATTTTTTGGATTTCATGGACTCGGACTGGACTGGACTAGACTTTTTTAGTCCATGGACTGGACTGGACTCAAAAATTTGAGTCCATACGGAGCTCTGTTACTTAACCACCATATGGTGAGTACTTTTATAATATGACACTTAGTTATTAATTGTCAGAATATATAAGAGTGCTCCGCAGACACTTGATTTGTCGTTGGATCTCTCACAGGTATTCATGGGTTACTTCGTGCTTGGGCAAGTACTTGACAAGAGGGTAAAACAATTACTTGATTTACTTCTACAAAATTCCAAAAACATTGGACAAAACGAGTAATTAAACAAGTAATCGTATGCAAGTACATTCATTAGAGATTGTATTTACTTTTTTAGAATTACATGTTATCAATTGCATTCGAAAGAATAGAAGAATTGTTAGAGAATACGAACAATTCTAACGCAAGAAAAAAACACTTTTTAATTCAATTCTAAACTGGATATCTGTCGGCATTGAATTATATCTCGATTGTTCACTATTTGTATTTTTTTGTCCAACTGCTATGTGAAATCGACTTTCATACTAAAGTTGGTATATTCAAATTACTTGTATTTTTAGCATTTCATTACAATCTGCGGATAGCCATATTTGTGGCGGTACACTGATTGATAGTCGTCATGTTCTAACAGCAGCACATTGTCTAACGTCGACTGATATTAAACAATATTCAATTGTCACAGGTTTACATGATCGTGCAAATTTAGGTGATGGCCGTGCACAACGACATGAAGTTGAAGCACTTTTTAATCATGAACAATACAATGTAGACACAAACGAAAATGACATTGCAATAATACGATTGCGTCAACCGGTGAAAATGACTCAGTATGTGAATGTGGCTTGTTTGCCTGAAAATGATCCACTACTCAATTCTGACGTTATAATAGGTTTGTTATTCATCTTAAATAGTTTATCGCATAGCCCCAAAATATTGAGAATCTCAAGAATTTGAACCGATGTTACTGTGCTGTAGAGACGATCCGAATCCAGTTAAAATCAAATGTATAATTTGTTTAATCCCTATTTTCCTTACACTTGTAATTTTCTTCAGCGGTGTTTATGTTATGGTGTGTTTGAGACACGATACCTCAAATTAAAAAAAGCGAAATGTTGCATCTTTGAGAATTTTTTGACTACCAAGATTATCTGTAATCGATATAGTAGTAATAAGCTTAACTGTTATTAAAATAATTTTGCATTTATTGTTTAAGCCGGCTGGGGTACCACAACGTCACAAGGAAGTGCGCCTCGAAATCTACTTCAGACGACAATTCAGATCATGAATCAGTGCTCAACAGTATACGTTAGGTATAACTATTCCGATATAAAGCAACTGTGTGCAGGTAACAACCAATACACCAGAGATACTTGTCAAGGTGATTCTGGTGGACCATTGGTCCACGAAGTCAGAGGAAAATGGTACATCAGTGGCGTTGTCAGTTACGGAATAGGATGTGCAAGTGATGGTTATCCTGGTGTTTACACAAGAGTCAGTTACTATTTACCATGGATCCGCGCAAAAACAACATTAGCTTAATAGGAAGGGTAATTAACTCTAATACACAGGTGAATTATTTATTATTTTTATTGTGAATTATTTTGTACTGACTTAATAAAAAGTAAACTTGTAACTTTTGCATCATTGTAATGAACATCGAAGTCAGACGCAGGATTTGAGCGAAGCTTTCAAACAATAAAAAACGAATATGAATATGATTAATTTGTATAAAATGTTCCATATGTGTAATGAATCACACCAGTAGTGTGTTTTAGAAGGTTTGTAAGTAATACATGTGCCCTGATAAAACTGGATAGAAGTGCGAAGCGACTTAAAATATATTCAACAATTTCCATACTGATGTACAATTCACATGTGAGGAAGAAAAATATGACTCTATGTCGAATATTCTCATTATCACATACTTCACCAGTATTTTCATTACTACTTATTACAAACCAACATATACGAGATGTTGATCAAATGAGATTCAGTTGTACCTCGCTCATACAAAGTAAACGTATTAAGCAGCACGCTATCTCGAGCGATATGGATTTACTCTACATTCTCACTAATACATCAAGAATTTCTATTTATTTTAAAAAATATCGTGTGAAAATGCTTATCCAATTGAATTTCATTGAATATCCGACTGGAAAAACTTTGAAGAGATATCATAATAAACAGAATAATACAAATACACCTCATGTGAGCCTAAGGAATGAGGGGAAGGAAGCACAACGCGAAGTTAAATCAGCTGTACATAAGCATGAGCTAAAGACTAATCATCGGATTAATTAAATTTATTGAAAAGTAATGGCTAAAGATCAGAGATATCATCAGTTATTACTTAGGGGATCATTGACAACTATGGGTGGACAACCAGTCTTAATAGCTCAGTGCCACGGCATTTCGCCAGCAGATGGCATGGCAATTTTGTGCTCACCAATGATATCTATAGAAATTATGAAATGTCCAAGCGAATTGTTTTAATTAAAGGAAAGGTTAAAATGATGATAGTAGTGTCAATGTTTAAGCCGTATGTTACAAAAGGAGCACGCTGAAATACAAAACATAGACTTCATTTCATTAGATCCATCTCTATTTAATTTGAAAAACGGTATACACAAACAAAGTTTCTGCTAGCTCCTCGAAGATATTTTCGAGGTATGATCTATCCATTGCTATCTCAGACTCATTGGTGGTTTGATACTGCTTTTACTTGTATTAACTCTCTTTGTTTCTCAAGAAATGAAAACTCACTTCTATCATATAGGACTTTATCCATAATTACATATTCACCTTCCCTCATTGTAGCAAGGAATTACCTCAAAATCTAGGATCATTATTAGCATATTTTGCTGACTATACGCTAGATACGACTTGAGAGAGAATTAACTTTCTTTCTCTATTACAAACCTTTTGTTCTTTTGTAACGCTCGGAGTAGAAACATCAGAGAGGACATTGTGTTTTAGTTTTTATGAATAAAAATTGTCCAAAAAAAATGATTCTCTACCTTTTGAGATATCTTTTTTTATGGAAGTATAATCTTGAACAGAAAATTCAAGATATTAATTGGTTGTTCATTAGTTTGAATCACCATAGCTTGAAAAATACACGTTCGCGAAGAATTTGATTTTCTATAAAATGAATTCGTATTTGCTGGATTCATTTCGGTATGTAATGGATGATAATAATGTGTATTGGTGCATATGATGTGTTTGCGAATTCTCATTATTTTGCTGACTTTGATACTTATAACTGCTTGACACTATGAAATTTTACCAGATAGACAGCTTGTATGGATGTGTGCCAGGGAGAGGGAGCACGGATGGCATGAGAGTGAGTCACGAGGCAATATGACCTATATAGTGACCTGAACTAGTGAGAGACAAGATAAACATTACAAGTCTATAGCCAGTATGAAGACATGTTTCATAACGAAAAAGTAAAAAATAATTCGTCCGCCATGAATGCGAATTTTCCATGATCTCTGAATCATGTAAAAATCATCCCTAAGATATCATGTCAATATTATTTGTAGTCACTCGATTAGAGTTGAGAATCTTCGAAATAGTGAACCCAAGATTATCTAAAATAAATAATTAGAACATTTTCGTTTGCCATTCATTTTTATTACAAAATATATAAAAAGAAAAACAGATTTGTCACTGTCGTTCCATATTTTGAATTTACGTTTTCATGTCGTTATAACTTTGTTAGAGCATTATCACGGAAAAAAAACTAGGTATTTGTTTTGAAAGACCTCTTCGACACACATATATGATAATAATAAAAACAAAAATATAGATAAAAACGAGCAAGTTTATACACAAATTATTCTGAGCTATTATATCTGTGGGAAAAAAATAATGCATTCATGAGATTTTTCATTTAGAACCATTCTCTGTTCTTTTGTATACAAACTAGTTTTTGCCACTGAACGATGAGATAATTTAAAGAACAAAAAAGAAAAATGAGTAAACATACTCTTCACTTTTTTTCTTCGATAGAGTGATCACATTGTACAGAAGTCGAAAAATTGCATTTACTTTACAAGAAAAATATATAAGAATTCTACTAATGTGTTGCTTCTCCATTAGCTGATTGCAGTTCTAATGGTTCCGTAGTGATTAATGAAACACTTTCAGCAACAGAAACAGTTTCATTCATTTGTAGTAAATTCTTCTCATGTTGTTCTTTGTGCAACGGTAGAATTGACGGTAGAGTTTGTTCGCATTGTGAAGAGGAGGATGTAGAGGGCAACGTGCTAGTGTTTGACTTTGCAAAACGATAATATTTAATGGCTTTTTTCCATTCATTGCGGGGAAAACGCATATAAAAATGAAATTGCGCTACAAAACACAAAAAAATAAAAGAAACTGGTAATGCATCTTTAAATAATCTCCCATACTTACTATTATCATTATTCGTAGGAAGCGATGTTTCTGATTGTTTAGACTAAACAAAGAAAAAGGGTACATATCACAAATCACATATAATGAATAACAGTATTTTATTGACCTTACACAAACTCAAGTTCAAACTTTAATTTTCTAAAATACAGTCTTGTGCAAAATTATTGTGACGAATTATTTTGGATTTTTTTTGCTCGATGGTGATAGTCAGAACAAATGATTTCAATAGGTCCACATTCCAAATCAAGAAAAATCAACAAGAAAACAATAAAAAAGTGTTGATCGTAAAAACTTGAATGCAATTTAATATAAGAATGTCATGGAGAGCTCAGCGACGTCTCATTTTGTTCAGAAAAGTTTATATTATACGACTGAGTTGTATGCAAAAAGTTTTCGATTGAACACAGGGACTTGTTTTCCTAGCATTTTGATTTTCTAGTGATTCTATATCAGCAAATTTTAATGAAACTTTTTCATATACTTTGCTGCTGATTGAAAGCTTTTCCAGCTATTGAAATCACTTCTCGATTTCGTTCTAGTTATCACGATCAAGCAAGATTGTTTTTATAGTTTAGCACAGAATTGTACAGGACAAGACTAGTATCTCCCCTTTCTTATGTGGATAGTCAAAGTATAATGTAATATGGTCCCTAGACCGTGATTTTAATCTTTGTACTGTTCTTCTCTTTCTTACTAAATAAAGTTTATATCAACTGTACAAGTAGAATAAATCCCACAGAAATTAAGGGAGAGTAGTAATTTTTTATCACCCATCTCATACTATCATTCTACAATAATTTGCAAATCCTTCTTTTCTTTATAGAAAAGATGCTGTCTATTATACATCTATATTATTTTCTCTATTATACACATAATCCGTTGTCAAACTATATATTTCCATCGTTGTTCAAACTCACGTCTATATATTTAGATATTAAATCAAGTGACATTTCGCTTGAAAGAATAGCTTTTGTCACATCGCAATCATAAGAACAGGCTATTAGCGTTGGAAAAAGTATTTCCATTTGTTTTTGATCAACAAAATAACGAAACGGTAAACAAGATAGTTGTTGTAATACGGTTGGACGATTTCCCACTGCCATTTTAAGCTAAAAAAACATATACATATATATAAAATAGATAATTTAGCAAAATAGATCACTCATACCTGGTTGTCTTGATTCAACACACAATAATATCCAATAAGTAAAATGATCTGACGTAATAGTATGTCATCTGTTTGACTATTACAATACCAAAGTACAAAATTCGCTACATGTCGTAATTGTAGCGATATCGTTTCTTCACCGAGTACAGTCTAAAAAATAAAAATATGTACTAGAATTATTTTATATAAAATTTCATAGAATATAATAAGATAAAAGTTTTGGAAAAACTTTTAGACAATGAAATATCATACTATCTACTTTACCATGTTGTTAGATGTTTGTTAAAAAAATAAAGTCGTCGACAAATGTTGACGTTAATTTTCTTTTACCTGAAATGTATCCATGTCCAATATGGCGATGGTATTCAGCAATGTTGTGGATTTCAAAACAATTGTCAATGTTTGTTCTTGTAATGGTTTATGACACGGATTATTATTATCAAATGATTGATTATCCGTATTTTGTATGAGAAGACCATAAAGCAATGACAGTATTTCACAGAAATTTGCACATTTCATTATAGATATAACTTGAGCTGGATCATATATCGATTTTTTGGTATTATTATTAAATGGAGCAGTCAGCGATCTTAAAGAATAGAACTCATACAGTATATAATGTTATCTTCTTTCAATGAAAATGTACTTTGGCATTGCAAATAAAAGCATTTGTTGTAATAATGATAAAAAATGGATAATCATCTCTTGAATACGAGACTTCGATTGTATTATGCCACGAACTGTTCGAAAGAGTGCGGCAATTTTATCCATACATCCGATATTTGCCATATAACTTAAGGATAAAATACTTTATTATGTAATATATATTGAAAAATGATCATTTCAGTAACATCCAAACATTATAGGACATCTTCACAAGTGAAAAACTGTTTAAAGTTCTGTACAGTGGTAAACTCAACTTTTGCTATTAAATACAACTCTTTTTTAGTTGAAGCGTGATAAATTTATCTCAGAAAATCGCTCGCAATAAATCTCGGTATAAATCTTGACTTAGTAACTATGCGTCGTAGAATATGCGTACGCGAATTGTTTGCGTTGTTTTACGTTAATCGTCTCCTCCCCTCCTCCTCCCCACACACAAATCTACATACTGCTTAATTTTTATAATATTTTCTCTCGACATGTCATCCCAGCTCGATACAAAGACGTATCACAATCCGTTCTAATATTATTTTCATAAAACAGATCATTTTAGTCGAATTTACCTAATAAGGTCTGTGATACGACTAATAATCAATTTATCATCTTTACTTTCTTCATCACGTTTTTTAATATCACTTGCTATTGAATTGTACATTGTAAGTAGGAGAACTAATGTTTGCGTCACATTAATCACTAAATCAATTTGCGATGATACTTCATTTTCATTCTGTTGATCATTTGATGTAACATCATCAGTTTTTAAACCCTAAATAGATGAATCCTTACAAATTGGACAAAATGCTTTTGTTTCCTATCTACCGTTATATGTCGAACTAAACTTTCGGCTAATGTAACAACTTTTCCACTATTCAAAACATACAATGCATTTTCTACATTATTATTTGTCGCTGCACGATAAACAGCTGCTGTCAATGCTACGAGACTAAAACAACAATGGAGAGGATAGTTCAAATATCGACCAGTTATATACAAAAAAGAGGCAAACTTTTCAGGTGCAAGTGGTGGTCGGTTACATTCAGCTCTTAATTCAATTAATTTATTCAATGTTGAATAACCATTTAAACTGAAAAACACGCGTTGTTCAAGTGGTGCATCCTGAAACGAAAAAGCGTCACAAATGAGAGTGAGTGAATGAAAAGAAACTCTATTTATCACCTTTTCATATCCTTGTGCATCAAATATTTTTGTTAATTCTGTTAACACTCGTTGACATGAAAAATAATTAGTGGTACTCATTGGTTCTTTTTTCGTCGTTGTATTCAGAGCTTTTTCTAGTTCATTTAGAAATCTTTGAATCCTATTACAAATCATACGTTATTGACGATTATAAAACTATCGAACTGCCAAGACCATACCTTGCTTTATGTGTTGATGTCAAATAAGGTTTTTGCGCATTCTCGGCTTCATATGCTGCACTTCTACGATAAATTTAGTTAGTAAAATTTTATATCTAATAAAAAATGATTAACTACCTTTGAATTGTTCGTAATCTCAATTTTTTTGCTCGTTTTTTCATTTGATGTTTACGTTCTCTATTATAAGCTATTTCTTGTCGAACAATAGCATCGGATGTCACATACATAATGTATTGAGAATTGATTGTTTCCTTTAAAATACGAGAAAAATGACTAATAAAAGTGTGTTCTTTCTGAACACCAAAAAAACCTACAGCCTCTTCAGCAGATAATTGTTTATTATTCATGCCATTTTGTTGATCTTTCTGACAGTGTCGTTCTATCAAAAGCTGATTATGTCTTTTACCTTTCAGATGAGTTTGCAAATGAAGTTCAGATGCCATCTAAAATGCAGAAAAAAAACCTCAGAATTAAACATACTCAGTACAATAACAAGTACCAAAAGATTGCATAATGTACAAAATTTTTTCATGACAGCCATTCGCTCATCTTCCCCGGCTGCCGTCGCTGTGCCATCATTATTTGTTGGTGAAACATGATCTTCAGCCGAAGGACCCCTTAGAACGCTCATTTCCATTGCTCTACGACGTATTTCTTCTAATTGTGTTACATGTCGGCGTGTTGTCTCTTCTTGCTAAAATAATAAAAAACAGAATTTTTTATTTTTGTTCTATACAGACTAACATACTTTTTGTGCTAGTTTCTTTTGTAATTCAGTCGTTGATGCTTTCAGACAAGCCACACGTAGAGCACGTTTCTGTTGAAAACTTCTATAAGATACAAAACTACTAGATGGTACGAGAAAAAAGAAAGTGTGAAGCGGTACTTTTGTTTGGCAATTGCCGCTGTTTGTTTTTGTTTTCGTTTTTCAATTAAATGTTGTTCTATCATTCGTTCTTTAATTTTCCATTTTTCTTGCATTTCCATCAAACGTGTTTGTCTTATCGCTTCTAACTCTTTACGTCTATTTTCTGCCGCTAATTCACGTTGTTTATGTTCTTCATGTTTTTTAATGCGTTCATCTTCTAAAAATTGTTTAAATTGTTCTTCTTTTTGATATCGTTCTTTTAACGTATGTTTACGATTTTCTTGTTGTAAAAGTTTAATAAATGCGATTTCTTGTCCTTTTAAATCTTCATCAGCTGCTTTTTTGGCTTTCAATACTAACATATATTGACGTTTTTCTTCCGCACGTTGCATTTTTATTTCAATTGTGGTTTTACGCGCCTTTATCAGTTCTTCTTTCCATTGGCGAACTTCACCAACCTGTCAATATAAACAATTTGCATCATTTAAAGAATCAAAAGTTGAACAGATTACTTACTCTTTGGGTTAGTTCACGTAGTTTTCTTGCTTTTTCATCTTGCAATGTTTTCCGTCTTCGAAGTGCTCTTTCTTGACGTTCTGCTGCTTCTTTTAAACTCTCACTTAATGGTCTACACAGAAAATTTTTAAAACTATCAGAAAGACGAAATAGAATTTGTCTTACCGAACACGAGATGGCGATGATAGTTTTTCATGAATGCGAATATAACGATTTCTACTTTTACTTTCAGCTTCAGAATCATTTTCATCTATAATAAGTATTTTTTCATGAATAAAGTGGCAAGAAGTGAGATAGACTTCTACCTCTTGATAAATTTCCATCAAGTGGACTATTATCTTTTTCATCTCTATCTTCTTGTAATGACATGAAATAACTCGATGTTTTTGTAGTCTAGTTAATAAAATACGAATGACAGATTAATTATCTATTTAGCTAGATTATCAGTACACGTACCGATAATTCACTTTCTTCTAATTCCGATACATCATCACCATCCACAAGCGGAAAATCTTCATTATTAACATCATTGAGTTGCTTTTCTAAATGTTCTTGCTCAAGCATAAGCGATGCAATAGTTCGTTCTTGTTCAGCTTCTAATGCGGCTGTTAGGCATTCTTCTTGGTCGAAAACATCGAATACTTGCTAAAAAATTATAAAATATTTTTATTTTTTTACTATTTATATTGTAGAACATTTTTGAATGCTACCTGATCCATAAAATCCATTATTTGTTCATCATCTGAATAATGATTTGAATGATCGAGTTCTTCTTTTTCATCATCTGCTTCGATATCTTCATCTTCATTCCATGAATGATGTTGTTGATATCGAAATTTTGTTTCAGACATTGGACATAAATGTGTATTTGATGTGGCTGTCAGAGTTGCCGATGAATGGTTATGCGTTGAAAATAACGATGGTAACGATAATTGGCTTGACATATCTGGTACTATTGTAGTACTAAAATAACGTGCTAATTTCTGGCAATTGTTATTATTCAAATTAATATCGCTATTATGTAAACGTTTATTTTTTCGATTTAAACCGAAAAAGTCGTTGGAATCATCATCGACACAGTTAACATCACCTAAAATTACTAGGAAAGTTTCATAAGAGAAGCAATGCACACTCTTTCTAGTGAAAGTTATTATTTCAAGAAGTTAGAAGAAATCAAGGAAAAGAAACAAATCCAGATGATTTTAGACTTAAAAAGCATCTCTTGCTTTAAAATCTTGAATCAAGAAATAAAATTTCTTGCGTTTGTTATATTTTGTAGGGTAAGATATTGCTATGCGATGCAACATAAAACTTATATTTGAATTGTCTTATTTACCTTTTACCATGCTAGATTGAACGTGATCAGAAGTTGTGAATGGTACATGCTCAGATGAACTAAAAGAGAAAAATAATATTTGTTTACGATTGAAAGGGAAAAAATTTGTTCAACGAAGCAAAGAAACTGTTTTCTTAAATAACGAGTAGTTTTTTAGCAAGAGTTTATTGCATTCGTTAGCGATTACAAATTTACATTTGTACACAAGCGAAAAAGATCAGTTATTACAATATCATAAAATCAAATATAGCAATCGAAAAACTTTCGAGAATTTAAGTTTTTATCAATTTTAAATCCCACGGTGAAGCAGAAGAATATGTTTTACAAAAACGCACCTTGATCTGTCCCAAACTTTTCCGGTTCTTGTTACCGGTAAAATCGTTAAAGATGAGGATAATGACGTCTTACCATTGTTTCCGTTAGATTTTAACGTAGTAATTAGAGATTTACTGCTAAAACAGGTTAGACATTACATTCGCTCATTTTCACTTCTCTTGAAACTATTTAGAAAAAACCAAATGATGTTTGTAAAAGAATTATTTCTTACCTTTTCGAATCATCTTTGTTATGTAGTTTTACTACTTCAAAACGTTTAATTAATGAATTGAAATCTTTGTAACATTGAAATAAAACGAGCACAACTTCCTTAAAAATAAAAACAAAATGACTATTTAAAATAATATTCTTTCGAATTCAGACTTATTTACTTGACATTGCACAATACTTTCATCGTTTTCACACGTCTGATATAGCTGGTCAATTGATCGTTTCAGATTGTCAAATAAATAGGTCCAATAGCGTGAACGAATATCGGCTGTTTGATTTGGCTTTGAACGTATGTCACAGCTAGAGCTTTAAAAAACCGACAAAACATGTATTTTTGAAAAATCATAAGATTGATGATGATATACTTACCGACTTATTGGATGTGCGGTCTCAGTATCCGAATTCATTATTACACTCGTTGCGTTTGTAGTGCTAAGACACGGCTTTGACGCCGTCATTTATTCTTGTGATTAAATAAACGATCTAAAATTACATACACAAATATGAATTCGGAAAATAAACGTTAGGAAGTGAGAGAAACTTTCATCAGCAGCTGTCTGACTCAGAGATACAACCGGTACCGGTATGAATTATAACGCTGACGGGTATACCGGCATTAGTATGAAGTATAATCAATCAGTCAGCCGATACTGCCGGTATTTTGCGGTATGATATGATTTTTTCGAGAAACATCGTGTAAATTCAGTTCATCTGTGGCATATTTCTTCCACTAAAATTTCATTCCAAGCTTTGCCGGCTTATATAAGCTTCTTAATTTAAAAGATTGAATTGGATTGCTGTATTCGTAAAAAAAAGCGCGTGAAAAATCAGCTATCAGTTTGTATACCGGTGACCGGTACCGGTATCGCATTTTTGATACCGGTTATATCCCTGGTCTGACTCGACTTTTTGTTTAGACTATTTAAGAGAACAAGACTCTGTCAACGTACTCAATAATCTAGCGCAATTTAGCTACTTTATCCTATGAACTAATCTGTTTTCACGTTAATAAATGAACTTCTTCGACTAGTTAGTCTCGAGAGTTACAATAAATCTCTAACGCATTCCAAGACATTTCCATATATTCTTTTATTCGATTTTTTCAACAACTAGACTATACTACGATACTGTCAGGGTAGGCTACATTCACATAAATTGACAAAAAGCCATGCTCAGTTTCGTAAAACGTGTCGCCAAAGACCATTTTATACATTTGTATTAGAAGTTTCTTTTAAAAGTAGCCGTTTTTCAAAAAGAAAAAATTTATAAAAACGAAGGTAGTGGATGGAGATCTGCGGTTGTGCCCATTACCCATCGATACGTAGGCTTTTAGTGATGAGTATGAGTGTTTTAATTCTTTCCGATGGGCACGAGTTCTTTCGAAGAATATCAGCATCCATCAGAGTTTTCTGTTTTGCAAACTACCATTAAAATATCAAAACGCTGGTCAAGCGAGTTGTTGATTGTCAGAACAACTTACTATATGATTAATTTTGTCTGTGATCATAATCAAATGATCAAACAAATTGAAAACTGTATTTTCCAGAGGACTTTTATAAAGCCTATCGAAAGACCATAGGGTTAATAAAAAAGTTTAGTTACTGACCAGCTTTGTAAGCAATGCACGTCTATGGTTATGTGCATGCCCACGTGTATCCATGGGTACCCGTGGGCATGGATATTGTTTCCGAAACCAGTGCGCATGGCATGGGTTCTAAGAAAGCACGGGCACAGATGCCTAATAGTGGTCTCACTTAAACTGCATCATTTTCGCCTATTCCAAATCTATAGAAGAAATCTTTTTGCTATTTTTTGGCTGATAAAGCCTTTCTCTTACTTTCAAAGTTAATCTGAGTTATCTAGTGAGTTTCGAACGTGAATTTATATTATTTTTACTCCAGATAACAGTGAAAAAAGAGATGAAGACCAATGTCGTCAAAAGATGATAAGAATTGGAGTGATCTTTTTATTGCCGGCCGCATAACGCGACATTTTTAGAGCGAACGATGTTTGAAATACATACATAAGTTTTAAGCTTCTAACGTCACTTTTTCACTATTATGTTTTCTCTTTTTCTTTATCTGATAAAAAAGTGTTCCTAATAAATTGTTTGGAATAGACCAGATAGGCATTTTTATTCATACTTAATCGATATATCAAAAAACAGTAGAGAAAAGAAAAAGCTACCTGCGTTTATTTCCTCTATCTATCACGTTCATTCAAAATGACACTCCGTTTTTTATCGTTCATATAAAACTGCTAGATTATTGACAGTAGTAAATGATAATGAATTATAAAACTTATAATGGTACTAACCCATAAATAAAACAAATTTATCGCCTGTTTAATAAGTTAGCAGAGAGAATAAGTGAGAATGATAATCTAAACCATTCAACTTGGATTCAGATGTAGATAACGATAAACAAACGACCGACAGTTGTCTCCCACAAAATTGTATAAATTCAAGAAACTGAAATAAAAGGCAGAGAATTTCATTGATTGGTCATCAAAAATAGTACGTTTGAAAATAAAAACAACAAAATTCACTTGTACGCATGTATTTCAAGCGCGTTGATGTCAATATATTTGTCACTGATGTCTCTCTCTCGTCATTAACAGAAATGAAACAGGTACATTTAACTCATAGTGACGCATATACGTATCGAAATCACTGTTGTTAAATTAACTTGTTACTTTCCCGATAATTGGTTATTTGAAGACATCCTAGGGTATAACTGTCCTCTACGCAGTAATACTTCGATCATTTGTCGCTGATTCAAATTTAATGGTGATTGCTTTGTCTATGTTGCAGAAATAAATAGAAGCCTACTTGTATTTGTAACTATGTAACGTTTTTTTAACATTTCTTTGAGCGTCTACTTTGATATCTTTTTGTTCACAATTGTGAAATCTTTTCACATGTTTTGTTACGCGTCGTAAGTTCGTGATACATCGATATGGAGTTTCTGTTCGGTCGGTCATGAGATAGAAAAAAAATGGTGGATAAAACTTTCACACGTCGGTTGTCTGAAAAGAAAGAAAACAAAGATAAAAAGTCAAAATAATAAAAGAACTGCAAGATGCTCTCTTTTAAAACCTTTGTATTTTTATTTATTGAACCTTTCTCTTAGAATTTCAGAGTTGATGTTAATCACTCTTTGTTTACTGTTCTTACATAAGAGTCATAAGCAATCAGTCTGAAATTGACTTTTATTCTCCATTTATTCTAGATACTTTTAATGTTTAATGAAGAATGAAATTATTATGAAAAGAATTGCTTTTTATTAGTTGTTTTTATTATGCATAGTGTTTTATCATCGAATGAACATGTTCAAAATATGGCATCGACAATGAATAATCCAAATTCATCGTATAATCCTCATCCGTCTGTTGGTGCTTCTAATATTGGTAATTCATATTCGACAACAACAGGAAGGGATGAGAGTCACCCATCACCAACAGGCTCATCATCATCTTCGTCCAATATATTTGGTATGTCTATAATTTCTTTCAATTTTGTACAATTAATTTGCTTCTTTCACTGCCTTAGTTGTCCAACAGCTTTTTTTATCTTGCTTAGTCTTTAGATTACAAGCTTATAGCTTCTTCACCCAATTACATTTAAAAATATTCAGAAAACTTTTTAAGAAAAATGCACGTGTTCTTTTCTACTCTTCGGAATTATACATGCAGTCAAAAGAAAAGAAAAAAACATTTTGTTAGTCTAGCAATATTTGACCGTTAATTGCTTAATGGTTTTAACCCACTTTCACAACTTGAGATCATCTATACTGGAAAAACCAGTGGCAATCGTTGAAAACTTTATTACAGTGCAGAAATTTAAGCTTTAGCGTTTTAAATGTAGGTTTTTTTCGCGCGAATATGTTTGCACAATTTAGTTTGTTCGTAGAAAAATGCTTACATATCGTACCACGTCGAGGTAGTCGACTACCTTCTAGCCGTAATTCTTGTTGTCTTCGCTGCTTAGTCTATGGAACGGGTTATTGTTGTTGTTTCGTTCTGGATATATATTAAATATTCGGAATACGTGTGGCTATTTTCTCAATGCGAGAAAGCAGAAGTATATGCACACATTTGGTTTTATTATTGTAAACACACGAGAGTATTTGTGTTTTTTCGCTTTGTAAAATAGGTGGCGGTAGCACAAGCTTATCTCCTCATCAGTCACCATCAAAACCGACGTGGGCACAAATATTAAATTCGAGTTCTGGATCGCCTCAATCAACAGCGTCAACTTCCACATTATTAGTACCGACATCAACATCAGCTACAACGTCAAATACTATTCAATCGCAAACACCACAATCATCTTCTACAGCATTTAACTTTTCATCACAACGCACAACAAATTTTTTAACAAACTTTTATGATCAACAGCAGCAGCAGCAGCAGCAGCATCCATTACCAAATAATCCCTCCTTAGCACCACAAATGAATTGGCCATCAATGAATGTGGTTGATCAAAACTCACCATGGGCTATTGATGATAATAAACAACAACAACCGCAAGTTCACCCACAAAATCTTAACAATAATAATCGTGGTTTACACAATTTATCATCGGGGACAACCACGATCAAGAGTAATTCATCTGCTAATGATCATTTTTCACTAAATAATAATAATAACGATGATAATAATTCTAATAATAATTTACTAGTTGATGATCCAAATGGTAAACATTGTTCTTGCACATTTATTGTTTCGTCATACTTGTGTTGTGTTTTTGCACATAGCCTTCTATTTGCTTTTATCTCTCAATCGCTTAGTTTGAGTTTTTTTCTATAGTTTGTGGGCATTACGGGATCATTTATTATGCACGGAGTTACTACTAATCTATGGACAAATTTCTTTCGAAGTTATGGGAGCTATAGTTTGCGAAGCCTGTTATAATGAATGTTAGAGAGAACAGAAGATCTCTCCACAAATTGTAGTCACATGTAAAGATTAAACTTTGACCGATGATAGCTGTACATAGTCCACGGACTTATTACAAAGTCGAGCCACGACACCTCAAATTACCTAGGAAAAAACTGCGAGCATTTTTCTCGTTTTTTAGGTTTTGATCATAACGATTCAACGAGTCCAACACCTGAATGGAATAAAACGTTTGGTGTTTTACAATCCGATAAATCATCGTCGAATGGTTGGAATACATTTCAATCCACAGCCGTTACATCTAATAATAATGCGTCCAGATCGACGAATACTAATCAATGGCCATCAGAATATAAAATTTTGTCAAATAATCCAAATATAACAAATATAAATAACAATAGTTCATGGCCAGATAATAATACTATGTCTTCATCATCATCAACATGGAACGATAACAATAGTGATTCGTCAACATTAAGTGCAATATCAAAAAATAAATCGTCATCCGGTAGTGCTAATAAATCCCTGTCTAATACAAATACAACACCTACAACAGATATGGGCAATGAACCAATGATTGTCTATGTTCCACAACCCAAATTGTACGTATATAAATGAGAAGTAAATAGTTACTTTACTACTTAGTTAAATTTACTGTTTTTCTTTATCTAGAGTTGAACAACTCGGTTGGGATGAACCCGATATTAAAGTCATTAAACGCAACTTCGATGATGGTACATCAATTTGGGGTGATCCAAATGATTTACGTAATATGCCTGTTAAAAAATGGACAAATGGGACAAAAGCAGCATTAACAAATTCAACAAATATCATATTACAACAACAACAGTTAAAACAACAACAGCTGACAGTGGCCTCAACCCAAATGATTATTGGCGATGAAAATTGGCCTAAACAACAGTCACCAACAACTCAAACATCATCATCATCATCATCATCACAATGGAATGATACACCAGCTGCTGCGCCAACACCGCCCTCGTCCATGACAAATAATAATAATGAGCATTTACGTTCAAATAATAATAATAACAATAATCCTACAGCGATGACAAATTCGAACTTATGGCACAGTCAACCACAACAGTCTATGAACAATAATGACTGGATGGCAGAGGGACAAGTAAGAAACATTTTGGTAGCAAACATAGCCAACTGTCTGACGAAATTCGAAATTTGAATTACTTCCTGACATAGTCTGTATGTTTTTGTTTTTTTCAGGTTGACACAAGTGATTGGGGTCTACAAGGATCTCAACAGAAAGCACCATTTGATCCAACGGATGGTAAGTGGTGTTAAAATCGACTAGCATATAGCCGAAATTTGAGCACTATAATTATAAAATTGTTTCTGAACTACTTTTATTCATTTTCTCTCACAGGCCAAGTTGATACAAGTAGTTGGGGTTTACAGCAACAATCTGGTCAAGGACCACCATCCATACCGGCATTAAATCGAAAATATATGGATTATGACATGAATGATAATCAGGAGCATAATCTACATAATAATATCATGGGGGGTCGACCATTAAAAAGTATGAATATTATGGACCCTTATGATAACAGTATCGATGGATTTCGTCAACCAAATGATATCAAAGGTGCTCCAACCGTTGTTGGACTCGGCGGTCTTATGCCTACAAATCCACATCATCTCATTCAACATCAACATCATCCATTTGGTAATTTACCAAGATCAAACCAACAGGCATATCAAAATACTAATATATTACGGTAGGTTATACAATATTGTTTCTCCTTTGGGCCGACGAATTCATCTCTCTATTTACGAATATTTTAGACCACTAAATCCAAATACTATGATGCCACCACCAACAGGCATGCCTCCTCAAGGATCTCAATTGCCCTCGGGTGCGATTGTGGGTACGGGTGGTCTATTATCACCAAAATTAGCGCCTACTTCACCGATACCAAATCAAGCACATTATATTGCTAACAATACATTACAAGCCAAACAACAAGTGCTGCAGCAACAATCTCAACAACCACCTCATCAACCATTATCGCAAACACCCACCCCCTCGCAACAACAACAACAACAACAACAACAACAACAACAGCAGCAACAACAAGCTGTCGTCAATAATGGCGCTGTACATGCGCAAATAATGCAACAGTTTCGCCTAGCTGTACAAGCTGGTTTGATTAGTCAAGATTTATTGAATACAAAATTACCACCTTATATGTTACAAGTAGGATTATAATTAATTTGACTAAGTTATGAGTTTTATTTCTTTTAAACTCTTTTTCTTTCTTGCAGTTGTTACAAAAATTGTTTGAATTACAACAAAAATTTCAAACACTATCTCTACAATTATCTGATTTCATGAAACAAAAACAACGTTTTCCGTTAACATTCTACCAAAATGAGTACGAACGGTTAAATAAATCAATTCAACAGAAAAAGCAAGAAATGTTAATTGTACAAAAGCAAATACAAGATGCTCATACAAAATTGAAACAACAACAAAATGCGCCATCATCAACACAAATGATTAATGGACCATCAGCCACGTCAACAAACAATGGCGATCTTAGTGATCGTATGCAACATGGTTTACAAATTAATCAGAATCAACCATCGTCTCAAACAGGATCGTCTCTAGCAGCACAACAAAGTGGTCAAAATTCTGCTGTCGATCAATCTCGATTACATCAATGGATGAAATTACCCCACCAGCAACAAGCACCTGGTACTAACTTACCAGCTCGTTTACCACTTATATTTTCTAATTCGTCAACAAACTCACAACAAAATGTAACAAAAACGCCAATAAATGAGTCAAATACATCATGGCCATCCGGATCTTCCACAACTACAACGATAACAAACAGTGAATCACCTTCTCATCAAAATGCTCAAAATCCAAATGCAGATAACTGGAATGATGGAACTTCTAGTTCATCATCATCGTCTTCAGCTAATAATACAAATAATGAATCGGCATTTCCCGATTCGTTAATTGGATCAGATCTCGTTGATGATATTGATGGCCCGCCACCGTTTGTACCTGGGCAACTCTGGTATGTTAATATTGTTAGTATCATCAGTATGTGAATTTTAATCTGTTTTAGGAATTGGAAACAAATACCTAATGCGGAAGATGATCCACATGTAACACCTGGTTCAATAGCTAAACCAACATTGTCAATGTCAAATCTTTCATCAAACTCATCATCCTCATCAACGACAGGTAAAATGTGATTTAGATTTTTGAACAATTATTTAAGTCTTTGTTTTATAACTTTATTAATTCATAGTAGAAAAGGCTAGAAAAGCTATTTAAGTCCTTTATATCATGTTTTATGTTTAGGTAATGAATCGCAACCAAGTGCATTTACAAATCCCAATTCTCAGTTTAACAATCAACAAATGCAACAAGCAGCGGTTGCTGCTTACGCTCACATACAGCAACAACGTTCGAACAGCAACAACAACAACAACAACAACAACAATCGAGCTATGTGGACGCATGAACAAGCTCAAATTGCTGCTATGCAAGCTGTTGCTGCCGCAGCTGCCACAAATAATAACACTAATTCTCAGCAGTTTCATCCTTCTCAACAACAAGTGAATGAAAATGCTTGGGGAAAAAATAACTCATATCGTAATAATTCATCGAACCCATCAACAATGAAATCGAATCAACAACTACCATTATCATTTGGTATCAATCCTCATAGTCAACAGCAACCACAACAGCAACAACAACAGCATCATCCATTGCCTCATCCAGCCTCATTTTATCGACCATATATGTAAGGAATTATTGAACAAAATTCAGTGAAATGGCTATCGCACTCTGTAAATCTTCCTATCTAATCAGTTCGCGTGAGACTGTATCGACAAAAAAACGGCTTTTTCTATTTTTTGTTCGTTTTTTTGTTTGTTCACCTACTTTATAGTGTACATTAATGTTTCTATAGTGGAGGGGAACAGAAACATGACGAGATAGAATGCGATCTGATTTTCTGTCTTCTTGTTAGAGATATTGTTGTTTATCCACAATCCCTCCCGGTTCGATGACGATCATCTGTCTTCTTTTATTCTTTCTCTCATTTACGTGTGCGTGTGTGTGTGTATTTCAATTTTTTCTCTTTTCGTTTTACGTCCAGAGCCCAGTTTTTTCGTCTCGTTTTAGTACTATTCATTTTTATATGTAACAGAATTTTTTGTTTTTTTTGTCAAGAAGAGCTTTATCGTGTACTTTTCTCTCTTTTGTGTAATAGTTTCATTTTTTTGACAAGTGTTACTACTGCTTCTTCTCAATATTTGTATAGATGATATATAGAAAAACAAACAAAATTGCGCCTTTTATGTGTCTATTTCGTGCAATACTGTCTCACGAAAGTTTACTATGTATATGATTAGTATAAAATTTGTTGTGTGTGTGCGCGTGTGTGTGTGTATTTTCCCTTTATTAATATCTTATTAACTACTTATTATTATTATCTTTTTTTAGCAGCTCTATTTGTTTTTGATAAAAAAACAAAACAAAATCAACTAATTTAGCCTCTCTCGCTTTCTTCAGACCTCAAATTTACGTCTCCTATGTATGTATAGCGATATATTTTATAAGCTGTTGTGAATGAAAGAAAAAACAAGACAAACTTTCCTCTCTCTCTCGCTATTTCTTAATTTGATTACAAAATGTTTTTATTTCTCATCTTATTTACACGCCCACACATACATCATTATCACTCGTGTTCATAGTGGTTCTGTTTTTTTTTCTTCTCTTTCGTGTGTACAAACAATAATATACAAGGAAAGAAAAGAAAGTTTGTATTTTTCCTCTTTTATTTGCTGCTTTTGCTGTTTTTTATTTCGGTTTGCGTTCTTTTGTTTGTTTGTTTTTTCTCTAATCTTTTTTTTCTCAAAACAAAACTAATAAATAAATTTTGACGAAAAAAATTGTATTATGTCCATGATAGAAACACAAATGTGGACGGCAACATACTGATCTTTGTATCTTAATTTCATTCCAGTTTGACAGATAAATAGTTTTAGTTTGTCAATAATGGTAATGGAGTTTTAAGAGTTGTTTGTTGCATTACTATGTACTTCACACTACTAAACTGTTTTAAACTAAATTTACTAACAATTTCGTAAGTAACCATCTCAGTCTTGTACACTAGCACAAAATGATGTGAACTTCTTCTATTCCCGCCTCTTAGATTTGATATATCTTCTTGTTGGATAAAAGAAATAATTATTTGACAACATGTGGTATATAAAAACTATTATTACGAAGAAATATTTCATGATTTCAATTCTTAGTATTGAATTTTACAAAGTATTCTTTCTAATGTACTATTGATACTCCCGTTTAATTATTTGACGAGCACTCAACAAAAAATGATAATATCGTTGAATTGTACTCTCTCTAGTACAAGTTTTGTTTTACGCTCGACACTCAATATGTCGTTGGTTCGAATGGCGATAAAATCTTATAATTCTATTTGAAAAGCAAAACAAAAGAATGTAAAATATGCTAAAATATGAGTGTTTCGATTTGTCCCAAGAGTTAAAAATATAAAGAAGTGTAAAAAGAAAAGTAGATCATACGCATTTTCTGGTTAATATTATTTTAGATTGCTACGTGTTAAACCTATTAACAATGTCATTGCATCCTTTTGTTGTATGTATTATATAATTAAAGATGTTTTAATTGATGTACAAATTAAATATGTCTCTCTTTAGCATTGGGGACAATCAGAAACATTTATTACTCTACGTATTGAACTAACAGATGTAAAGGTAAATACTAATAAAAAAAAAACGAAAATCGTTTGTATTAATACTAAATTATTATTTATTTTGCTTTTTTTTAATATTTCAGACACCTATTGTTGATATTAGCGAATCAAATATTAAGTTTGAAGGCTATGGTTGTAGTGGATCGAGAGGTGAACAATGCTATTCATTTCAAATTAACTTATATGATAAAATTGATTCAAATGTAGGTGACAATAATAATTCTATGTTTTATAATTTATTTCTTCTAATATATTTTCAGACTAGCACATATAAAATAAATGATCGTGAAGTAAATATTAATTTAAAAAAACAAAAACATGACAAATCTCAAATGTGGCCAAGATTAACCGAATCATCGATAAAACTGCCTTGGTTAAAAGTATGCATTGATGATTCTAACAGTGATTAAATAAATTATAGAAATGTATTTTAATAGGCTGACTTTGACAAAATGACTTATAGTGAAGATGAGTCTGATCATCGCGTATTATCAACAATGGACGACCGTTTTCAAGTATATGATGAAGTGAGTGATCTTATTTTTTTTCAGCGCTATGACTTTTATTCTTATTTTACTTTAGAATGCGGATGATAAGTATGAAGATATATATAAAAGCATTTCTGAAAGTCGAAATGAAAAGCCAAAGGGTAATATATAAAAAAAAAGTATCTGACTAGTAGAATAACTGTCATTTTGTTCTAGGTACAATAAATCTTCGAACACATTGGCTTGTATTTTTTAATGTAATTCAATTTTGGGCTTATTTTTGGGTGTTCAATCGTTTATCATTGCATTATGTGTTTCATCAGAGTATAAAAAATAAATCAAATCTATAATATAGAATACGAGAAATATTTCTTGTTATCTTTAGATTTACGTAATGGTTATCAAATGGTTCGAAATCCTATTAAACTATGTCAGGCTCTAGCTATATTTGAAACAATCCATCCGATTATTGGCTTTACAAAAGGTGAATGGATAACACCTCTAGTACAAGTAGGTATTTTATCATAAAATATCTGTTAATTATCAAAATTCAAGATTTTTTTGTTTAGTTTCTCGGTCGTAACTTAATATTGTTTGGTGTTATCAACTATAATCCAAATATTCAATCTTCAACCCTTGTTTCCCTATTATTACTTGTATGGAGCTTTATAGAGCTGTTCAGGTATAATACCATATTATTGTATGTCATATATTATGTACTAATCTTGTGACTTTTGTTTTTTTCCAGATATCCGTATTATATATGTCGTGTATTAAATAAAGACATACATTTTTTAACATGGCTCCGATATACATTATGGATTGTTCTCTATCCTATGGGAGCATTTTTAGAAGGTAATTATTTTCCAGTATTAATGGATACACGTTTATTCAATTGATTTACTTTTTATTTCCAGGTTTAATCATCTACCATTCGATTTATTATTATCATTCCAGTCAACATTTTAGTCTATTATTACCAAATAAAATTAATTTTTCATTCTGTTTTGCTTGGTTTTTACGTGTTTATTTAATTATATTATCTGTCGGTAAGATATCGAACTGTTACCATTGATTCACTGTTCAGAAAATTTTGAAACAATCTCCATATTTTAGGTTTATTGCAGATGATGAGATACATGTGGAATCAACGACAAAAAGTACTCAAATTGTCAAAAACGACTAAAAGAAAATCTTCAGCAACGAAAAAAACACAATGATGACGATTAACGGTTTTTTTTTGTTTTTTTTAAGAAATATTTATTGAACTTTTTCTTGAATATTAGTTTCAATAGCAAGTTTTCTGCTTGTCTGAAATTAGCATTTACTCAAGCGTACATAATTCTACTTTCATACATATGCAAGATTGTGATAAATTAGGTCGTGTTAAGGAAGTTTTCAGATATTCAGACATAATACTCAGAATAATTCTATCTATATGTTACGAACAACCTTTTTATGTCGACTTTTTTGCTTTGTATTCTTGAATTTCCTTATCTTGAATAGAGAAATGTAAATGCACATAGTTTTGTTTCAATGTTAAATGAACGATGTTCATATACAGCAAAGTTCTGAGTTATTACAGTCAAGTTTTGAATGATAATAAAAACATAAGATTTTCCACTTTTTAGATAAAAATGGCACCAGATGAAACGGCTGTGATAAAAAATTTTAAACGATTATTATCAGCAACTGAAAAACTTCAAGATTCAAATTCCATAGAAGAATGGAAACTTGATCAAGTATGACAAGTAATAGAATAGCAGTAGTACTTTAAATTTTTACTCTACGTTTTAGTTTGTCATACGTTTAAACGATATGTTAAATGAAATGAAAAGATCGAGGTAGGACAGAAAGAAAACCGTGAATTATTAACAATATAAATCATATTATTCTGTTAGACCAAGTGATGATCGATTAGAAGAATGGAGAAATCGAATTGATATATTACAAAAAAAAATTAATCCATTAAAATTAGTATGTTTTGTTTGTTTATTCAACAATTTTTGACTAATTTAATAATTATTTTGTGTATTGTACAGGATGAACAAACATTTCCACGACAAATTCAACGTCAACTTCAGTCACAATTACCTACAACACAAGTACAGAATGAAATCCAGTCTGATAATGATTCCAGGTCAAATGTCATATTAAATGAGCGGCTCACCATTCAATCACCAATTGTAGAAGAAAAAACAGAAATAAAAAAGAACCGATGGAATAGTGACTATGGTACGTGTATGTTAAACTTAACCAATGTGGATGAACTGGCTAAAGTGATTTAACGCAATATACATGAAAACGAAGGCTATTGGTTCTAACCTCTTCAGAGTAAAAAAAAATTTGATGTCGAATGATGTTTAACAACACCTTTTAACTGCTTTACTCTTGATGATAACATATAGTTTACTGACGACATCTCTTATATCTAAGATGTAGACATTTACGAGTGTGAGGAGAAAAACATTTTTTCATTTTCAGGAGGCACCAGTAATGTTATAGAAAATCATATAAAACATGAAGAAAATGAACAAGAAAAATTAGCTGAGATAATGTCTTTAAGAGCAATCAAATTGAAAAGTAATGCAATTAGATTGCAAGATATAGTCAAAGGTGATAAAGAGGTATGTATTGTGAGATTGCTGACGATAGTTTTACAGTGTTGAGTGGAAGTGGTACTATCATCTGTTTTGTTTTTCGTTAAGAAATTAAACGAAGTCGAGGGCTTAGTCGATCGTAATGTAGCAAAATTGAGTGTACAGGGTAAACGTCTAAAACATAATGCTTATCAAGCATCAAACTGTTGGATTTATATTATGTTAGTATTAGTTATTGGTACATTTATTTCTATGACCTTGTTTATGAGAATGTTTCGTAAAAAAACGTATACGATTGTACATAAAACGATAATGACTACCAAAACAACAACCTTAGCAAAGACAGTCGAAACATTATCACAAGCTAATGTTAGAACGAAAGAGAATGATTACATTTCGTTTTTAATGAATTATGCAAATGAAAATCACACTGATTTATAATCGAAGTGTTTTGTAAGTGTAAAAATTGAAATAAAAGTAATTCTCATTCAGTGTAAAAAAGAAAAACGTGTATTTTTTTCTTGCTGAGCTATTTTCCACTGCTATATTTTTAATGAAGAACACTGTTTTCCTTTAAACTCGAATTTTTTATTGTTTCAAATTGCTGCTTGTGTAAATTCATTGTTGATTTTAGTTTAATTATCTTTGAATAGCATGCACGAGTCGTTAGATTGTGATTTTGTTAGAACAAAACTTTTCTGCAAAACGCACCAGATCAAATACATATGAAAACAAAAGGAAGACAATTTCATTCATTAATGAAAATACCATATATATTGGCCAGCTAACGGTCTTCCCTAAATCAGAAGGTTTAAAAAAAGTTTTTCGCTAATTAAATCATATCATCAGATATAATTTTTCACGCTGATCACGAAAATCAACTTTAAAACTTATAAAAATTAATATTTATAGGTAAAAATTTTGTAATTTCAATTTCCTCACCTAGACATTTTCTTGAAAAAAAATTCAAAACTGTGCTAATCGATAGAGAATTCAATTCTCTACACAATGGCTTATTTTTTTCGAAGTTTTGACGCTTAGAACAGGTTTTAGAGTCAAAAGAGTCTTCTGGAAAACCAGTTTTTGTAACCACTTTTTCGATAAGTTAAACAAGTTTGTTAACTTTATTTTAAATTGCATCAAAAAGAGCACATGTAAGTCTATATGTTGCTATTAACAATAGGTTTTTCTGAATATTTTCTGTTTAACATTCCGCAATGAAACCATACAAAAAAGGATGAAATTCCGTCACGAAGAGTATTTTAACATTTTTATTTGGCAGCTTTTTCCACGCAACGCGTTACAATGCATTAAAGACATGTTTTTCTCCAAAGTTATCGCGTTGTAGCACAATAGAAAACCTAACATATTATAAGGCATTACGATATGCCTAACGCATTATAATGCAATAAATAGGAAAAAAGATCCCATGGGTGGTGTAATTTTTTATTTATGTTAGTTTTATTTATTTTTATATGTCTGCTATTTCTTAACATGATCGTTGAGGAAATCATGATATTTTAATATTATTGTTTACCACCTAGGGAATAGATCGTTTTTCATATTCTGTACCATTTACTTGATTTCGTTGAATTAAATTTGCTGTAATTTCCTTTGGTTTGAATGTATTAGTTTTATTCGTAGTTTAAGGTACTGATTTAGCACGTGGTTGATTGATAATATGAATGATTGTATCGTTCAACTCCTTGAACGTTGTGAAACTTGCTGAGTTGTCTTGAATCACGTACTTGTTTAGTTTAATTTCATAAATTATCCCAATTGGCCTTAAAAATTCTTTATTTTAAAAATTCTGTTGAAGGCAAGTTGATTTGGATCTGAACAGACCTACAGCCTTACGACTTGTCCAAACGTCACTGCGTTACGTTTTTGTCGTACTAAACTTCGGTTATCTCTGAAGCTAAAATAGCTAGAAAGTTCGTTCAAATGTCAATCGACGCAGTTCATCATGCTCTACTTATGCTGTGAAAACGAAGTTTTTTTCCCAAAAATCAAGTTGCTATATCAAAATAAGAGCTCAAAAACTCGACAGTAAGTCGGAAACTGTACAACTATGTACAAATTGTACACAGCAAGTAAACTCAAAAACAAATACGCCATTTTGTAGAGAATTCAATTCTCTACAAAAGCATATTTTTATAAATTTGTTTTAAAAAATGTTTTTGGTTAAAACATTAAAAATCCGGTTTCTGAAAAGTTCAAAACCAAGTTTTTTGGATGAAAAATGAACGAAAAATGGGTCTTATTTGAGGACTCATTATATATCTTAAGTGCTGGAAATGTCTTGTGACAGAACATATCTAGAATTGTCCAACTATGGTCAAGTATCGTGGAAGAGGACACATTTTATATGTCTCATCACAGTATACGTGAACTTTACTCTTCTTTTTTTTTGTTTAGCTAATAGTTTGTCTATATATACAATACGAACTTTCTTATGCAATGTTCGGCTTTTTTCTTACTAACTAGTTGGAGTGTAAACTTTGATGAATTATTAGTCTCGTTCTTGGTTTGTCTTAAGGGTACCCCCTCTCTTGTTTGAAAAAATCTCGGATTTTGAGTTGAACATAGCCTAATGTAGAGGAAAGTGTGGACTACAAAATGAGACTCCTATCAGTACTCCACGACCTTTCTTCAAAAAGTTATGCATTTTTGAAGTTTTCCTTTTAAAGCCTAAAAAAACTCAATTTTTTACTTTCATAAACTTTTCTCTCATTTTCTGTATATTCAAAATTTTTCTTACACATCATCTGATAGAAGAAAGTATTTTTTTCACAATGAGACGTTTCCCAGAAAGTTCCGATGAGTTTTCGCGGAGATATAAGCATCGCGGCAAATGCTCTGAAAAAAGTGGCCTGTGTACAAAATGCGTTTTTTCTCGAAGGCTACTTTTTTGCTACCGAGCTTCATTGAACCACATTACGACCCTCTTAAATTTCATCCGATTGAGTTAAAAATTTAACCAGAGGTATTCAAGGTCATAGCGCAGAGGTTTAGTTTTGGAATTTTCTTTTAAGCCTTTCTTTACCGAGTTATAGGGTTTCCAAAATTGAAAAACTTGATTTTTGAAAGTTCTCCGGTGTTTTTCCTATCACTCGGTAAAGAAAGGTTTAAAAGAAAATTCCAAAATTCCATCTCTGCGCTATGACCTTGAGTGCCTCTGGTTAAATTTTTAACTCGATCGAATGACATTTAAGAGGGTCGTAATGTGATCCAATGAAGCTGTTTAGGAAAAAAATAGCTTTCGAGAAAAAACACATTTTGTACATAGGCCACTTTTTTCGAAGCATTTGCCGCGATGCTTAAGTCTTCACGAAAACTCATTAGAAAATTCTGGGAGACGTCTCATTATGAAGAAACACTTTCTTCTATCAGACTATGTGTAAGAAAATTTTGAATGTACAGAAAAGGCGAGAAAAACCGAGTTTTCTGGAAGACTGATGAACGGCAATAGTTAAAAACTTGAAACAAAAACGAAAAAGTGCTTCATTGAGTTTCCAATCAGTTCTGAAAATATGAAGCCCTAGTGACTTTTAGTTTTTATTTCACAGTATTTCTACGGAAAATCCAAAATGAGGGGATGGATACCCTTAACTACAACTGAATGGTATGTCATCTAATCTCTGAACGGGACATTTGATGTGGAATTGTCTCTCATTTCATGATACTAACCCTCTAACGATACAGACTATTGCACAGCAATAAAAATTCTTAAAACATGAAAATTTGAAGGCGAAAAGTAACACAAAAACCAATAAAGTTTTTTATAAATGTACCTTGTAAAGAAACACTTCAAATGTGTTCTTTGAAAAGATAACTTAAAAGATAAGTTTCAAATATCAGCACTTACTTGAACTGACAGATCTTATAAGTGGGAACGTGCCACATGAACGTTAGCAGGAAACACCATCGCCACTAGTGGGAAATGATGAAGATTTACTTCAATTTTCAGTAAATGTTGTGCGATTATAAGAAACAAAAATACAAATTCGTCTGTAAAAATGAATTTCCCTATTTCAACGATCATTTTTAACCTATACCAAAACAAATTGAATGGAACAGAAATGAAAAGAAAAATTAGAACATGATAATTCACACTTAATCCTTAACTCTTTGTACACTGGCTTTTCCTTACTGAAGCAAAATGAAATTCGACATCATCATGTTAATGCTCATGGTGAGAGATGCCTATGATGATGTTTTGAACATTTTGGAAAAATCAATTCTCCAGGTTTTATGTACCCAAATATAACCGGTATTACACTCGATTTCTTGTTGAGAAAATCAATAAAAATTTTTATTTTACACATTTGCAGCATGAGCCTTTGAATTTTCTCGTTGACACAAACAAAGAATGAGCAATGGAACAAAGCAAAATTCTAAAATAGAACAAAATATTTGCAAATATTTCGAATGCAGATATCCAATCAAAACGCTTATACATATTATCAATCCAAAAAAACAGTGCACTCGGATATTTTTTGAATAACTTTTAATAGAAAAGGGCTAGAGAGCTCCGATTTTCGTCATTCGAAAGAGAATACTTGGAGCTATGTTTCTATAACTAAAA